GATGGAAGGCGCCTCGTTCAGCTACAGCCCGTGCACGGTCCAAGCCAGCCCCATGCACAGGAGGGCGAGACTGGTACTCAGGCCGTGAGCTGCGCTTCAAGCGCCCGAGCCCACATTTTCCCTCACATGAGATGCCACAACAACTCCTTCCAAGTATTTACCGAGCTGCGAATGAAATCTGCATTTTAGAGATCACCCATGACAACTGTTCCCCTGGGGCAACGGTTCCTTCTCCCATGTCTAATTTTACTTTGACTGAACTAGATTTCTGAATGCTAGAGCCTTTTTTTTTCTTTTACATATACACTCAGTCACCCAAAACAAGACATGCAATTCTCCTTGAACTTAATAAACAAGCGGCACATATTCACTTGGAAAGGAGCCTTCTCCTTTTATAAAAAAAAAAAGGAAGTCCAATTTCCAAATCGCTGCCATCCCGTCATTCGTATTCACATCTGACAAACATTTATTTTATGCCTCCATGTCTACGACGCTGTGCCAGAGGCTATTTAAGTACAAGCAGACCTTGTTTTGTTCATTCTAAGATACAGATTATCTTTACATTTGGACATGAAATATGTTTTCTTTGTCAATGGTACAAAACAAATGAATAGTGCAGCTCACGATTAACGGGCATCTTACATTAGGTAAAATACGGTACAAGACACAGCCCCTGCTCTCAAGCAGCTTACAGATGTTGCAATTACTGTGCTGGCAGCCAGTTTGCCTCTTCTGGGGGAGGAAACTCAGGGCTTAGCTTGGAAAGGCTGAACCTACTCTTTGCAAGAGATCAAACTGCCCTTCAGAGGAAAACAACTGCCTCCGAACAGCAGCACAGCCAAGACACCTTGAAAAAAGAATGAGAACAAATTAGCAAAGGTGCAAGAACCTCCAAAAATATTTCTTCTAGGAAATACTCCCAAACACTACCTGTGAGAGCTGACTTTTTTCCTTTCCTATTTGACTCATTTTAGTGTTGCAAAGTATGGTTTTACTCTTTATGAGGAAACATATAAATGGGGGAAAAAAACCTTCCAGAAGGCAAGGAAAATTTCTGGGGGCAAAGAAATCTTTTTCCACAGTGAGAAAATACTGGGCTAAAGAAGTTGCCAAGTGAACTCTCAAGCTCAAAAAAACTGGAGGAGCCAGTACAAGAGAAAGCTCTAAACTATCTTAGCAAAAATATATCGTCATGCACATTTCTGCCAGAAAAGCTTAAGGGTGTTTGCAGAGTCTGGAGAAGCGAGAGACAGTGGCCAGAGGCGGGGTCCTAACCTCAGAGCAATTATAAATCAGAGGCAGCTATGGGCACTGAGTTGTTAACAGCAGGATTATTAGCGTGGCAGCTTGCAAATACTACATTGGCCTGTTTAAGAGAAGAGCACAGCACCCTGTTGTCCCATAGCAGGAAAGCAGAGAGAGGACAGAAAGCAGATCAGCGCGTCCCCCATGAAGCACAGCAGGCAGGCTGGCCGCCATGTTGAATTCACAGACTTTGCACCATCTAACTTTTGGCTTTCCCACATCTGGTGCTTGATCCAGGCTGATCCAGCTGCATTCCTGAGCATCAGCACACAGGTGTTTCTACTGATGCTTTTCCCTGTTGGGGGAAAAAATGTGTTCTGAGCTGAGGGGTACAGTGCAGGGGTGGAGAGACTAGCGGCCAAACAAACCAGGCAGAGTTCAAAATGCACTGCCCGAGGAGGAGGTCACAGGTCGGGCACGCAGGAGTCCGAAGATGAGCTGGCAGGAGGGCAAGCGTGCGTGCTGACCCAGAAGGAATGCACCGCTTGTCCCCGGAGCTCACAGAGCCTTCCAACAACCTGATGTCTTCCCATCGGGGATGTCAGGGCTGCTTAAGGCAACGTTTGATCCCTGAAGCAGGGAGTGAAACATTCTTTTTCTCTTCTGTTGTGTGTCAGCTTACATTGCCGAATTTCTTTGTTTCCTAACTAAATCCCATCAGCGTAGCTGACTGCCTCCCTTACTTGAAATGAACTTAGCTAGGAAACAAGTTTCTCAACAAGGCTCCGTTCTCCAGGGTGCTGAGAAGGGCAGAGCTGGGCTCAGCCCCTGCAAAGAGAGCGGAGACCCCTGTTTATTGTCTCAGAAGAACATTACGAACAAAAAAACCAAAAAGTCTCTCCTGCACCCAGATCAGAGAGGCCTGACATGGCCCATAGCCGTGCTGGAGAGAAATGCCGCTAGGGCAAAGACCAGTGGCTGTCTGTCTTCTCCTAAATGAGGAAGGCAGCGTGACAGAGGGTAAAACACTCCAGTGGGGAAAGTCAGATTCCTTACTTATGAAATAAGTGAACTTGAGAAGATGACCTGTAGGGTTCAGGAGGAAGTCAAAATCTCAATGAACCCTAGAAGAAAATAATCTCTGAGCTAGAAGAACACAGTTCCAAAACAGTCACTCAGATTCACCAAGACCTGAATGGGTTGTTAAAATAAGATATAGTCCTCCCTCCTGGAAGTCGTGAGCAGGTGCTTGCTGACTTCGTAGGCACCCACTGTCTTGGGGGAAAAAAGTCCCTCCCAGGAGAGTTACCTGAACACCCTCTAGACCCTTACCCTATACCGGAAGGTCAACCTTCCACATCCAAACTCTTCCCCAAGGCTTGCCTCTTCAGCTCATGTCTAGGGATCATCTCCAGTCTAACTGGTTGCTACAAAGCCCCCAGCTACCAGGATTTTGGTGGGTAACTGGGGGAGATTAGAAGAGGCCTGAGGACAAGTTCAGGCTGGTATGTTCCAGACGACAATCTGAGCATAAGCATGAGATTGATTATCTTCTCATACTCCTGGGCATTAACTTTGGCCTTGAGTTCCCATATCAGCCAGTGAGTGATAAAACAACTCCACAGTTTCTAGGAAATGAGTGATTAGTGTTTGTTCAGGATTTTAAAATTTTTTCAATTAAATTTTAATTTATTCTAGGTAAGTATTTTTGGATATGGCATCTAGCACAGTGCTTTGCATTCAAGAAACATTCAATGAATAGATACATGAATCATACATGAATCAATGAATAATCATATGCATTGAATTTTAGCTCCATAATAGGAAGGCATCGCATGCCAGTCACCTCCACACACTGAACACACTCCGTTCCAGAGTTTTCCCTCACACTTCCCTCAGGAGCTGAGCCTGAAAGAAGTCATCTGAGCATGTACATCAGCTAATATATTACCCTTCAGAGATTAATATGACTCCTTGCATTTGATGAAATGTCAGGGGTCCAATTTCTGATAGCAAGTGTGGTGATTTACAATATCTGAAGAGGATCAATGAAATCTCTGAGGTGGTCCCTTAGTTATCCCTCCTAAGGGCCCCTCGGGAACCCAGCCGTACCGGAGCAGGTTCTTCCTGCCCCAGCCACACAGCAAAAGGCTTCTCATCCAGATTTCTGAGAGATTTTACTCCTGTCCTTTTTCTCCACATCCAAAGTCGTCTTTGGGAAGGAATCTCAACCCCATTTGTGGAGGAAGGGCTTGCGGCAAGGCAGGGTGGGGCTGTGCACCCCCACGCTTCGCGGCAGGAGACCTGCCAGGCTCAGCCTGGCACCTGACACCTCCTGAGGAAGCAAGAGTGTGAACACTGCGACGCCGAGGCCACTTCAGTCAGATGGAGGGTAATCAGAGCCCTCTAGGATCATTTTATTTGAGTTCATTTAAAATGACAAGAAAAAGTGTGTGACCAATACAAGCAGAAAAATGCAGCATAGACCAATCTTCACTGAGGCCCTGCCGTCCTCCACCGAGAGAGAAGGGGGCATGCAGAGACACCTAGTGTAGAAACGGAGTGTGCAGAACGCACCCATCCTCAAGAAGCTCTCTGTGCCAAAGGCTCTGAGTTCCCCCACTCGTCTTCGGTCAATGATGACGAATACCCTGAGAGCATATCTGTCATACGCACAATTGCCTTTCACTCGCATGTGCACATACATATGTGTGTGGCTCATCCAGACGTGGTATTCTGCCAGTACAAAGCTCTTTCGTGCGCTTTATGGTGTTGGGTTCATGAAAACACAGAGTAGACAGCTCTGAGTGGACATAAAGACTCGCATTACCTACCATTCTGCTTTACCCGGTAAGAATTCAGTTCAAAATCCAGCCTCAGGGACACAACGCAGGCACCATGAGAAATGCCCTGTTCAGCGTCAGGCTGAACCTGTCCTTCAGCACAGAAGGCCTGGCCCAAACCACTTCTCAGCGTGCACATAAAATAGAGGTAGGCCTGAGGGAGCCGGCCCTTCCACTGGACTCGGTTAACATTTACTTTTCCCAGAGGAGAGAGCCTCAGGGTTTTGGAACCCAGGCCTTGTGCGGGGCAGACTACAAAGGACCATCCCTGAGAGGCCACCTGAGGTGGATTCCCAGGCCACATCCAGCCCTTCCTCCGGAGCTCTCAGTGCTGATTTGAATTCCTTTTTAACCCCGAGTGATTTGGGGGAGAGGGAGAGAAATTCCAATACTGTGGGGATGTCCATTTTCTTTGCCCGGAAAGACCTGCTAGGGGCCCCTCCTCTGAATGCCCTCCCGTTGGACTCTCGCCTCCCGGGGAAGGCACCCCCGCCCCCGACCATTTCAGATCCTGGGTAGGGTGGTGCTGACACCTAGGGGTGGATGGAGAAAGAGCCAGTGCAGAGAGAAGGCCAGACCACGCTGGCCGCGGTCCCTCCTGGTAGTGTCCGGGGAGTGGTGCTTTCCCCTACTTCCTGTCCACCTGTCCCCAAGCCTACATCCCTCACTCCAAGAGAAGGTCCCCCAAAACCTGTCCAGTAATCTCCCACACAGAAGCACAAAAACAAAGCTTGACTTTAATAAAAAACAGCCAGTTCCCTTTGTCTGAGAAAAGCAGCCATTGGGGAGGTTGGTGGTAGAGAACGTAAAGCCTCAAGAAGATGCATCGACAGGCTCCGCTGGGCAGGCCCGTGGGCCAGGGGGAACCAGGGAACGCCGAACCTCCCCAGGGCAGCGGGCACGCTCTCTTACCAAACTCGCTCGCACAGAGATGTTCGATTATGGCTTCGGATTTCAACTCGTTGTCACACGGAGGACACACAGTTGTGCCTAGGAAGGGAAAGGGGGAGGAAAAGGAGCTGTGAGTTACGCGATTAGGGGGTGCAGAGAGGAGCCGCCCCTGGGAAGAGAGATCAGCCCACATCCAGAATGAAAGTAGTTAGAGGTCTTCTGGAATTTCTGTAAGGCAACCCAAGAATCAAAATGAAGGGTCCTAAAGCCCAGGACCTAAAGCCATAAACAGACACACGGCTCCTTGAAAATTTAAGGGCTTAGAGCTGCTGAATATGGCACAACTACTTAAAGCAACAATATCGGGATGCGGGTGGGAGTGAGTCCTCTGACTGTGGCTGAATGGGGAATGGTGGGTCCCTGGGAAAAGCTGATTTATAAACCAAACACATCTATTCCAGCTGTTTGTTTCCTGTTCTTTCTTCTTTAAATATCCTGCCCCCCTCCCATCTGATTCCTGCCCCCTTCCCATTCCCAAACTCCCAACGAGACAGCAGATCAATCTGACAGGCTCTGAGACAGCAGATCAATCTGACAGGCTCTCGGGAGCCCAGGAAAAAAACTCAGCCAGACGCATGAACTCTAACCCCAGGCCCTGAACATCCCTCTCCAAAAGGGCTATTGCTAGCAAGAGCTGCCAAATGGGACGCCAGCGCTGGATGGGAGAGACCCTCTGCAGGCATTTTCACGGTACTGTGAAGCGCTTTGAAGAGGAGATGTGTGTGTGGCCGGCAAGAGGGCCACTGATAGGTGGCCAAGCCCCAGGGGGAGGAGGAGTCTGAGGCCCGGGCTAGAGGCCTCCCCCAAGCCAAAATGCTACTGATGCTGGAGGGATCCCAGGGAGATAAAGTGTCTCTTTGGAAGGGCAGGAGGAAAGTGGTGCAGTGATTCCCAAGAAGGGTGCGGGCGGCTTAGCATCATCACCACCACTGACACCATCTTTCAAACAACGGGGAGTTTTCACCCGTGATCCGGGAAAGCATCAGCGTGTTCTAAGGGCACTCCGTCCTTGGCTCAGCACTCGAGGCCATGCCAGGCTGGAGCTAAGGAGCACAGGAAAGTCACCTCAAGGACGGATGGTGTACTGAGCGACCTCTGCTCAAATACAAGGCTCGTGGTCCTCCTCCTTCCCTCCCCATCCATGGCTTCTGGGATAGCATCTCCCCCTCGGTGAGCTCCCCTGGGGCTCAGTGAAGTGGGCAAAGCCTCCTGAGACGGAGGATGAGCAGGGAGCTGCACAGCCCTCCTGAGCCAGTGCAGCTCCCAGGACACGGCTGGTCCAGAGCTGGCCACCCAGCCACCACCTGAAGCAGGGTCCCTACATGGCCCAGCAGAGACCACATGCCTTAGTCTTTGTTGACAGATTCCACTCCCATCTTTACTCTATGCCCAGGGCCAAACATCGTCCACATTCTCAGTGTGGCAAGAACCATAGCCACGCTCCAAGAAGAAGACTGTGGTGTGGGATTGTGTTTTGGCCCACATGTTGGAAATTTGCTCTTCACCCAAAAGCAAATTTGAGACTGGTAGTGTTTCCAACAAAGGGAAAAACTTACCCGGAGTTTTACATATGGTTCTTGCTTCCATGGGGAGAAAAGCAGGGAAGTCCTGCGATATGGGAAGGACCGTGTGACTTACAGTGCGAGAGACAACTGGGTTTCAGGGTTTTCCTTGCATAGGTTATTTTTTAAAAAGTGGAAGCTATCACGCTGCAAGGTTCTACAAATATAATGTTGACCAAACAAGTGGCAGGGCCACAGCCACCACAATGTCAACACCAGGTCTCTGTCTGCTCCGAGCGCCCGCATTATCTCGTTTAGATGCTCTGGGTTCTCCGAGGGCTTTCTGTACCCCACAGGGCCTTTCCCTCAGGGCCATCAGTGCCTCTCAGGGCAGAGGGAGCTCCATGAGGGGAGCGCTGCGTGTTCCCCACGTGGCTTTCCCCCCTTTGCCTTCCTTGTAGCCGACTCTGGAGCAGCAGCAGCCCAATCCCGAACAGGGAGGAATGTGTAATGCAATATTAATCTGCGCCCCTCCGACTGTCCTTGGGGCCCCACAGGCTGCCTCGGCAGGAGAAATCCACCCAGGCATCTGCCTGAGAGGTGGAACTAAATCACTGTTTTAAAGCCCATTTAAAATAATGTTTAAAGTAAGAGAACCAAAAACTAAAACGTTTTGTGTTTTATTAGTATTTAAAGGGGAGTAGAAGGCAAAGTCCAACAGTGGAATGACGATTAAGTGAATATTTAAAAATGAATGCACCCACGCACCCATAGCACATCCTCTACCCACGCCGCTCACACACACACACACACACACACAGTACATTCCCTCTCTCTCTCTCTCTCTCTCTCTCTCTCTCACACACACACACACACACACACACACACACACACACACAGCAGGTCCTCCCTAGCCAGCTCCTGCATATGCAGGGAAGGGACTCGATGGAAGGTTCTCGGCATAGTGAGGGCACCGTGGCCTCTGCAATCTGTGACTAAAGCAGCCAGACTGATTTAATGCACAACATGCCTAAACAACAACTAAACTAAACTAAAAGTATGTGCTTGTTCATACAACTTCAATCAGTAAAACCTGGCAGGGAAGAGGAACAACAACTTATCAGAGTGCATAGGTCTAATGTAAGAACTCAGAAATAACTCTCCTGGAAAAAGAAACATTGCCTCTCCCATAACAGATGCTTGATGTGGTTTGAGCAATGGCCTTTTGGGGGGGAAAGTGTCTTTTGCCTCATTTCTCATTATTGAGTTTATCTTTAATAACATGCAGCCACAAAGGGTTGCCCAATACCCCAAAACCATACATGCCCAAGTATGTAAACAGAAACCGCCAAATCATGCAGCAATCTGATGCTGCCTTGAGAACTCACTTTTAATTTTAAAGAATAAAACAAATAAAGAATAAAAGAATAAAAATAGTGTGTGTACTTATTCTCATCCAAAAGTACCAGTTCTTATTTGGGAGCCACGAGACATAAGATTTTAAGGAGCAGTAGTGTGGTCCACCTCAACCTGCCCTGACACGCACATGCACGCACACACACAAGCACGCACGCACGCACACAGCCCTCTCACCTCCACGCTCCACTGCCAGGCACTGGTAACTAGCCTCAGGGGGAGTCGTATGGGGCTCCCCTCCCAAAGAGTGGCCGCAGTCCTGGGTAGGAACAGATGGCCTCTCAAGGCAGGACTTCTCACCAGAAATGCAGAGAGAAGTCAGTTCCCGAGTCGCACACCTGACTGATCCTCTCCCAGCCCTTCTCTCTGTTCAGTACCTGGTCCTGGGAGGGTGACTTACCTATGCACTCCTGGGAGGGAGGAAAGACAGAGGAGAATGGTACAAAGGCCCAGACAGGAGGTAGCAGAAAAGTGGACCAGCAGCCAAGAGAATGGCTTTGAGGAGACACCCCAGCCTTTGGGAGGTTCGGCTGGGAAGATCCTTTCCCTTTCATAAGTAGGCACCCCAGCCAGTTCCCCTATCTTCCCCTCAGACGGTCCCCCAACGGTCTCCATGTCCACCAACTAACTGTCCCAGAAAGACAAGTGGACTCACTCAGCCCAAGCGGAGCGGGCCGCCGCCTCCCAGGGCAGGTCTGGGCTGGGCTAATCCCCCAGTGGCCGGCTGAGGAAGGGGAGAAGGGAAATCCTGTGGGCTGCAGGGGATAGCTCCACACCAAAGAACACAAAGTGCTTTGTTTGCTCTAGGTAATTGCTCAGCTCTCGCTCTCAAAGGGCTGTACTTCTCAAAGGTTAACCCTGTGCAGGCACCCAGGAAGCAGAGAGCAGAGGTGCCCGGGCTTGGTCACTGCAGGCAAGCTGCTGTCTTTCCCTCTCGGCCGGAACCCATGCCACCCAATGTCAATCAACTTTGAACTGATCTTCTCCATCCCTAGAATAAGCAAGTGCACTCAAAGTTCAGGGTGCCCATTTCCTCATACCTGCACCCACCCTCACTCTGGGGAAACATGCCCTTCAGTGGACATGTCTTTTTGGTATCACAAAGATGGGCAAAGTCAGCAAGCAGCCGGCCCCTCACCTGAAGCCCCCTCCTCAAACAAGCCCTCCAGACGCCTGGCCCTGTGCTAGGCACACCTGGGCAAGGCTCCCCATCTCTGACAATCTCCACGTCTTTGAGACTCAACTCTGTTACCAAAGAATTCAGGGTTGAATTCACTCCTATAAAAGTCAGGCCACGTGCTGGGCGGGGGCGGGGGTGGGGGGGGTTGCTTGTTTGTTTTGTTTTGTTGCCTCTTGGGATTTCTTCCCCCAAAAAACACACTCGGGAATTGCCCTTTAAGTGGGAGGGTGTTCTTCGAGGAACCTCCGGCCATCCCTGACGCTGTTAGGAGACTCTCCAATTTGCAGAACCCCACTCCCCAAGGAGAGGTGAACAATGAACTAATTACACTTTTATCTTTCTAATTACCTGGGGATTTATGTAAATGAGGAAAGCAGGGGGTATGCGAGAATGAGAAAGAAGAGACTTTCCATCCCCCAACCCTGTCCAGGCTGATACCTGAAAGGGGTGGAGAAACAGAAGTCCCCAGTTTCTAAACTTTCTTTCTCAGCCAGTTCTGCAGCTTGGGCTACTTGGCTGAATGACCTAGTTAAGAAAAGAGTTGTTTGTTTATTTGTTTGTTTTAAATCCTCATGGAACCTATGAAAATAAACCCGCGCCGTAGCGTGTTCTCGGCCTGTCTGAGCGTTGGTTGTTTTCCTTTTGATGCATCCCGTCTGGGGTGTTAAAACACTTGGATGGGGACTCGGTTCCCTTCCAGAGAGACGGGCTCTCCTTTTATTTGGAGCTTAAGGCTTTGTTTCAGGTATGGAAATGCGAGACTGGACCCCAGGAAGAGTCGCTCCAGGAGCGCCACCGAGTTGGTGTGGGGCCGAGTCACAGCCGCCGCTGCCCGGCAAGCCCCTCGGTCCATCCACCTGGGTCGGGAGGGACGCAAAGCAACACCTCAGACGGACTGCAAGCTTTGAAAAATCACTCTGCTCAGCTTCAGAGCAATCTCTAGGGAGGAGGTCCGAATTTCGGGGTGGCGGGGCAACCGGAGGCCGCGGCGGCAGGAGCGTTCCCGCAGCCCCCGCTGCAGCCCAGCGGGTCCCGGGGTCCCCAGCCGACGGGGGCGTCGGAAGGGGTAGCCTTACCTTGGGGTTTGGAGGCTTCGGTGGCATTGGGCGGAGTCATGGCGATGCAGACGTCCCCCTCGGGGAACTTGTCGCACTTGAGCATCTCGGGCCAGTAGAAACCGAAGAACTGCATGACCGGCTCGCACGAGTCGCGCACGGCCTCGCAGAGCCAGCGGCACGGGTAGATGGGCCGGTCCAGGCAGACGGGCGCGAAGAGTGAGCAGAGGAAGACCTGGGTGCCGATGTGGCAGTTCTTGTTGAGCAGGGGCACCCAGCTGCTGGCTTGCTGCTTCACCTCGGCCATGGTCTCGTGCTCCAGCAGATTGGGCAGCACCATCTTCTTGTAGCCCACGTTGTGGCACAGCCGCAGGTCCGCCGGGATGTCCACGCACTGCGGCGGCTTGGTGTAGAAGCGCCCGCTCTGGTACGAGCCGATGTCCGACTGGAAGCTCACGTAGTCGTACTCGCTGGCCGAACCCGCAGCCAGCAGCCCCGCGGCCAGCGCCAGCAGCACGCCCCCGGCTGCCCCGCGCGGGCCCCCCGCGCCGCGCCCGCTGCCCATGCTGGCTCCGCGCACTCACTCCTGCGACGTCGGGGGTGCCTCGGCCGCCTCCCCGCGCGTGTCCCGCTGCAAACTTCCAGGAGTCTCCGGGGACAAAAGGCGCCTTCCCCACCCCGGCCCGGCTCCGCGGCCGCGCGCTCCTGCCCAGTCCTCGGCGGGTGGCGGCCCTCGGCCTGCCGCGGGGAGGGGAGCGTGCGCGGCCTGAGTGCTGCAGGGGCTCCCGGGCGCGCGGCACCTACTCCCGAGGCTGCAGGACTTGAGTGCCCGGCGCTCCTGTTGCAGAGCCCTCTGAGTCTTCCCGCGCAGCCAATCAGCTCCGGGCTGCGGCGAGCCGCACTCATTTAGCACGTCAGTCACCGGCGCAATTAGCCAATCGCTTTACTTGCAACGGGACTCGGTTTACTAGAACGCAACACAGGTCAACACCCCTTAAAAAACAAAATCCAAGAATAAATAAATAAAAGAAGAAGGAGAGAAAAAGAGAAAAATGGGAAAATGAAAGGAAGAGAAAATAGAAGTGTGGAGTGGATAAAGAGAATGTTTAATGCCGTAATTAACGCATCGGGTCGCAGAGAAGCAAGGAATTTAACAGTACTTGAAAAATTCTTGAGATAATGAAGACTTTTCTTTTAATTTTTTCCTCATTTCAAACAGCAGCCCACCAGACAAGCAACTCACCTCCTCGATTTTGTTCTCTGTAGCTGCAATACAAAGACAAGTAGTTTCCTAACCAACTGAGGCTCAGGAAAGCAGAAGCAACTGAGGTCTGCTTTTAAATCCCCCGCCGGCCGGGCTCGGCTCCCGCAAAGACCAGAGGAAGGTGTGTCGTTGGGGCTGTTTGCTGGTTTTAAAACACGGCACTTTTTCAGATGGGTCAACCCAATGGTGGCCCTCCAACAGCGGAGGCAGTAGGTAAATGTTGCTCAGTGTGGTGGAAAATACTGCTTGCAAAGGTGTTAGCTTTGGGAGGGCAGTTAAAAAAGCGGGGAGGGGGGGGGACCTGCTAAGTCCCAGCCCGACAGTATGTTTGTGTGTGCACGCATATCCACATTGACATGTTTGTGGTGTAGAAAGCCAAAACATTAAAAACATATGTGCACTTATCAGCGTGGTGTGTGTAAATATCAAATCCATCACTCAGGCACACATGCTACATTCATAGCTGGCCCAGGAACCTCAAGTCAAAATCAAGGGCTCCTGTTAAGGCAGAAAGCAAGAGGGGAGTATTAGCAGAAACACAGCTGGGCCTTCTCACCAAGCCCCCCAGGCACAGAAGTCCCCCTGCCACTCTCCACCTCAGAGTTCCTGGCAATTCTTTGTATGTTTCAAACATTCGGAGAGCTGGGAGTGTGACTATGACTGGGCCCAGAGACAGGAGACAACAGCACGCAGTTCAGGGAGCTTGCCGGGTCCGCACTGGGTGTGCCCTGGAGTCTGGGTGGAAGGTGGCAAAGGATGCTGAAAAAACCGGCATCTGAGCAGTGGTGGTACCGCCCCACGTGACAAAAGGGCCACAGATCTGATTGCTCAAGGCAGACACTGTAGGAGGCGCTGCCTTGCCAGCAGCTTGTTTGTAAGGCTCCAGGGAAGCTGGCTTTGGACTCTGCAGACCAAATTTCTTGATGGAAAGATTCCAAGTAAAGCTACTTGAGTTTGTGAAGAAGCGAGACTGTTTTCTTAAAGCACTCGTGCCCATATGGAGAGTGTGATTCCACCGTGCACACAAAATGCATCTGCAGATGGTCAAACTTCTCTGTCATTTCTAGGCTATTGAAAGGTGCACCAAAGTGAGAGGAGCAGATGGAAGGAAAGATATGGAGAGAGATAAAGCAAGAGCTTGGATGGCAAAGGGTTAATCCCTAAACAATTGGTAGTGCTCAGCTGAGAAGCTGGGGAAGACATTCCTCACAGAGAATAGACCGCAGGAGACCTGGCAACTGTGTCTCAATTCAAGGGGCATTTAGAGAAAAATGCTGTTTGGTAGGGGGTCCTTTTCTCTCCTCCAGCCAGGCCCTCAATCCCAAGCCAAATGTGTCTGTTTACTCACTCCGTGGAAAGAGTTGTGTTAGTAAATAACATCCTCTCACCTCTGAATCCCGGCTTGGCTGACCTCTCATTCATGTTTGCACAGTTTCCCCAAATGGTGGGAGAACTTGAGTCTGTCCTCCATTGCAGTTCTGGAAATCCACCCAGGTGACTGAGCCTCCACCAGTCCTAGAGTCTCAAGTCTGGAGTAAGTCTCACAAATCCATCCATGGGAGCCCTAGCCTATGTCTGGTTGATCCGCGATGACTTTGATCACCCACAATCCTTAAGTCCCCTCCCCACCCCTAGATGGTCTTACTGCTTTAGAGAGAGACCTCTTAGACCATTGGGGGCACATAACTGTCTCAAGGCCAAACAGGGAGAGTGGGTGCAAACAAGACTCCAGAATGCTGAACTCAGTACATTTCTAGCTCCTTCCAAGGCCCAGCTGGAAAGGAAGGACTTAGGTCTCAGTCTCACTGACAGACTTCAACCTGCTTGGAATTTTGGAGGATGGCTGACAGTCAGTTCACATACTGTGCAAAGGCGGAGGCCAAAGAGCCTCAGCACTGCATACAGTTGTTTGTCTGTTTGTCTTTTTTCATATTGTCAAAGCTTTGCACTTCAAAGCGCAGTCTCCCTTTTCCTAATGGCAAGGATGTGTGTGTATAGAGGAGAAAATTCTAGAAAAATGGTTCTTTAAACACGCTATTGACATGACAGAGTTCCTAGAAACAAGGATTCTTGCATATGCGAACAGGGGAAAATACAATGTGCAACTTGTGTTTTTCATTTCAAAAAAGTTCTGATTTTCCCACACTGCCAGTTGCCCGTACATGAAAAGTGAAAGTGTGTTGCCTGTTGCTTCATAAACCAGCTCAAGGAGGCATCCTTCAGTCTCCCTGTTGCCCAAAGCTGACTGTCAGGCCAAGCAGGGGCACTAAAAGGCCCCCCAGGTGCCTACCTGGTGGCCTCTTCCCACACGCCAAGCTCCTTCCTGCCCGCTCCTAGAAAAACTGGGACGGGGGGCGGGGGGGGGCCGGCGGGCAGCAGTCTTTCCACCCTGTTCCATTTATTCTGTTCCATTCTCATCTCATCACTGATTTTTAGGCCTCTCCAAAGATACCCTCGGAATCCTCTCCATCAGCCAGGAGTAGCACAGCGAAGCAGGAGGGCCCCTGCCTATGGCTGGGCGGTGGTGGCTTTGGTGCCATGCAGAGAAGAGCATTCTGGCCCAGAGTTTGGGAAACACGAAGTATGGGCTCCATTCTGCTTATGGGCTGGGTGACTGGCACTTTATCCCTCTGGACTTAAGAGTTCTTGTCTGTAAATCAGAGCTACGGTGCCTGCCCTGCTACTTCATGAAATAAAATATGTGAATTATCGATAGCTAGTGTCTGTGAGACATAGGCTTTTGGTAAAATGTGAAATATTTTAAAGTGATACTCTATATAAGACATCACGAAGCACAGTCATGTTCTTCCTTGGACAATCTCCTTTTCCATTCAGCTCTGTGGAGCTGCAATAATCATGCCCACCTTATCGATCTTGAGCCCCACTGACTCAAGGACTGGGCCGACCTGCTGTCTGGGGTTTGGGAATGCCTAGGAAGACTCATAAAAACTCGGAGATGAAGGCAACTCCACCCCAATGCGGATTAAGCACTGTCTCTTACCAGTACCCAGAGCACCTCTGCACAGTTCACTACAGCACACTCCTTGGAGTTTTATAACTTCTTGCTTCGGGGGATCCACGTGACTGTGAGCTCATGAAGGGCCAGCATCTTGCCTTATTTTTGTCTCACTTATCCTTGCATCCCAGCATCTAGCATATGCCAGGCACACAGTGAGTGCTCAGTAAGACCCTCCAACCCGAGAAGTGTAGAAACATGGAGTAGAGGGAGAAGATACGTGAAATAGCCAGGCTAAGAGAGGCACTGCACTTGAGCATTGACTTTTGCACTGCGTTTCTGAAAACCAAGGCAATATGTAAGAATGAATCACTCACATAGTTCTCTTTGTCTGCAGGAATGGAAAATCTTTCCTAGCTCTGACTCTTAAGAGAACTGATCATCGGCGCGTTTTACAAAGACTGTAAGCAGAGCGTGGGACTTTTGTATTGGCTCTCCTCCCATCCCAGAGCTGATCTGTGGACAGATGCCACATCTGACTCCCCTCTCTCCCCAGGGCCTGCCCCGGTAGGCTGATCAGTAAAGAATCGGTTAGTGAATGTAGTGGCCAATTCCAAAAAGAAAACAGAACTTCCTGTAACTCTAACCTGGATACTGACCCCCAGACCCTAATGCAGTCCTATGCAAAAACAGGAGCTAGTGTCGAGAAGGCAGGGGATTCTGGGAGCCTCTGACAGCACTTGGGATTGAAGTGGAGACCAGAGAAGCTACAATGGGGCTCTGCATATAACACCAGGTGCCAGGTCTTGGTTTCAGAGGCTTCGCTGGGACACCACAGAGCAGGATAACTCGGCCTTTAGGGACTGTCTCCCCTCTGATGATCCCTGGGAGTGAAAGTGCAGTGGCACATGCTTCAGCGAAGGGAGGCCCTAAATCTGCTGAGATTGCTGCAGGGAGAGAGGGCGGCAGCAGACACACTCCCCTAGGAGCCCTGTGCTTATTTACCTAACCCTTCGTGGCAGGCACGCCAGACGGCTCCTAGAAGGTTGGAGCTGGGAACAACTTGGATATAAATGAGGTGTTGGGGGGAGGAGTGGGAGAGGGCCCATCAGCACACTCCTCCACCCTTCAGGGGGGCCTTCCCTTCCCCTCAGGTACTGGTGACCTCACCCTTGGCTGGGAAGGCGCTCACCTCCAGGGCTCCACCTGGGCCGAGACGAGGGGCCTCCTGCTCCCTGTTGCCCTCCTCCACCTCAATAACCCAGTCCCCATCTGAAAGGCACTGCCCAGCTCGGTAAGGCACAGTGCCCACGAAGAGTAAGCCACCTTCCTGAAGTCTTTTTCAGTTTGCACTTTATGTGCATTAT